AAGAAGATATGGATAGAAATATAACAACAACATTAAGAAAAATAGAAACAAAGTACATGGAAACGAATACGCACTCTCCCAATTGCATGTTTGCTTCAACAAAGTTTGAGAATGCAGTCGTAAGCTTAAAATCAACAGTCTCTGAAATGTCATTTACAAATGGAAATCTTCCTTTGATAACCTTCGAGGATCTCCCAACTGCACTAACACCAGATTTCCAGTCATTCCTATACGGCGACTGTTTTACAGTTGCGGGGCGCCTTCTCCGTGTTAAAACTGCAGGAGTAGTTTCAACGTCTGTTTGTATCTGGACAATACTTCTTGATACCGACTGATCAGGTTTAGACTTATTTACAGCACGAGTTGTCAGTTCATTTCCTGATTGATTTACATTACATCTCCCTCCTTGTGTAATGGCAGCAATTAGATCAAGTTGAGAATCAGTATATTCAAAATCAGAATCCAAGTGAAGATCACCCCCGTGTCGACATGGAGCTTAAATTAGAAAATGCTAGTGAATAAATAAATATACAAAGTTAAGAAATTTAGAAAAAAAGAATGAAAAGTTATATATAGAAGACATTACCAGAAGGCAAATTCACATTACTGCCACCAACATCCACTTGACCAACACCATCAACCCGACATGCTGAACACATAAAAGCATTATCAGCATAACTACTTAAATAAAAAATAAAAAACTATCAAGAACCTATCATTTACATACTAACTACAGAATTAGAAACATCAACGTCGTACACTGTGGAGCAGTATTAGACTCAATAACAACACCTGCTCGTGTCTGTACAGGGATTCCTGATGGCAGCGGAGCAGGACCCAACTTTTTAACATCATGAGATGACTGCTTATATGTTGCTTGTTGTGTAATGGCGGTGATTTGATCAATTGCAGATGCAGACAGTTCAAAGTTAGAATCCAAGCCAAAATCATGCTCATTTACGAAGGGGGCTGAAAAAAGTTTTTTTAAAAAAGGTTAGTCAATGCACAAATACATAGAGTTAAATAAATAAAAAAAGAATTAAAAAATTACATATACAACATTTTACCAGAACGCAAATCATCATTAACTACGCCATCACTTGCTGTGACGTTCTTCACATTGACACCAGTGGCACCTCCATCTTGACCAACCCCACCAAAACCAGATACTAAACATATAAAAGTATAAGCAAGAGTACTATTTTCAAAAAACAACAGCAAAAAAAAATTAATCAAATCTGTGATTTACATACTAGAAGGTGCTTTGGGCGTGCTATCTCCAATAACTACAGGATCATTCCCAACGTGGCCACTTTCAAACTGGTCATAATCATTATGCATCTCACGAAAGTCAGGATCATTATTCTGTTGCTTATGCTGAAAATGAGAAACTAACAATTTTAGTATTATGTATATTACAAGAATACTATGTGCACTAAAAGTAAAGAATGGAATAGTATCCTATAAGCATATATTGCATCTTTGAACAATATACTATAGCATTATATTATATAAAAGATCAATACCGCTGAATTTCCCTCTGGTTTCATTGACTGCCTACCAATAGCTGCAAGCACCTCCTCAAACTTGTTCTCTACAAAAAGCTTCAAAGCTTGTAACTCCTTCATTACCTCAGCATTGGTAGGTTGGGAATCACTTCTAGTACTTTCATGCATACTTTGTGTCTTTGGTAATTGAGTGCCAAAAACCTGAAAGCTATCAGGCTGATTGTCAGTGCACTCAACTTCAATTTCAAAGCTTAGACCACGCACGTCAAATAGTTGCTTCTCATCATCAGTTGGGGTGCTGTTCTTTAGCTGCAATTATTAAGCACACTAGTTAGAAATAGAAATGATAATAAAGTATGGAAAGATAAAAGATCCCTATTAACATATGATACCAATATAGTATACATGTATACCAACAGAGTATATCACTGAACTGGGATATAGTATACATGATACCAATATAGTATACATGTATACCAACAGAGTATATCACTGAACTGGGATATTGCTACAACTGTGACTAAACTACTGTACCAAAACATTAAGAGAGGCAATAAACTATGAGAAAATTACCTGCTCGCGTTGCAAGCTACACATTCGCAAAATAACTCGCTCATTCGGTATTTGTGCCATGACTACCCAATTCAAAATTCGTGGAAGTTTGTTTCCAAGATGATCAGCTGACCATCCAAACTTGGGCAGCATTCATACAACCAAGTCTGTAAAGCCAACGGGAAGCCACCGAGTCTATAAAAAGAAGACTTATCTTGAAACTTGTTGGAACACGAGTCAATTGTAGCTTTATAAATATCTATACCCCAGGGATAATTATTAAAATCACCGCACTCAACCAAGTCAATGTAAGACCGTGAAATAACCTTTGTCTTGAGTTGAGAAAGTAAGAAGATGTTCACAAAATAAAGAACTGCTATCTTCAACGCACCATCATCTGTTTCCCATTTCTTCTTCTTAAAACAGTCTGCTAGTTGGGCAAATGTCACGGATGCAGTCCCAACATATTTTGAAATCAACCTTTCTCTGCTATGCTCTCTATACTTGTATCACCCTTACATTTCAACCCAGTAACAAGTGCAAATTCACCCAAGCCAAAGTGCAACCTAGAATCATTCACTACAAACCGCATCTCATTTTTCACCTCATGATGTACTTCTCTAATAAGCAAATGGTGCATAACCCGAATCTGCACAATAACTGGTGGCAGATC